TGTCAGCATTGATAAATTTGTTTTATCTGATAAACATGAAATAATAAAGAAGAAAACATGTAATGGAAATACTAGCAGCCCAAATTGACTCAATAATAATAATAATAATAATTACGTTACATATTAATATAACTTAAATGAAGGTATTATTTTTATGTGCTATACATAATAATTGTAGAAATAATTTAAGCTTTGAATGTACAAAAAATGTTTTATTATTATTATTATTATTATTTTTATTTTTTTGAACTCCACTAAAATCTGCAAACTTGAAATGCAAGAATTTTAAGTTTAAATTTGAGACAGTCCTTGATATTAATACAAATATAAATACAGGAAAATTAATGTCCATGCCACAATTATTTTATCTGCTCTCCGTCTTCGTACTCCGACAAACAGATAATGCACTCAGCCGTATCTTCCTCTCTCCCAACCACTTCCTCCTTGTGGTAGCTGAAAACTCTAACTCGGTTTGATGTTGACATCTCCAAATCAACTTGATTTGGAGTGGGTGCTGAGTTGAATCTGAGATACAACCAATAACAGCAACTAATAGTAATCACGATAGCAAGAAAAGCTGGAAGGATGATCTCAAGAAAGGACAATTCATCCTTTTCAATGAGCGCCATTGGAAGGAATGTTTGACAAGCGGAGATATCGAACCTGTAAAAAAATCAATTGCAAATGTATTACTCATGTCAGCATTGATAAATTTGTTTTATCTGATAAACATGAAATAATAAAGAAGAAAATATGTAATGGAAATACTTGCAGCGAAAATTGACTAAATATTAATAATAATTACGTTATATATTAATATAACCTAAATGAAGTTATTATTTTGTTATGTGCTATAATACATAATAATTGCAGAGATAATATAACGATATTTTTCGTTTCGAAAAAAGTTGGGTTAAATTAGAGACAGACCTTGATTTAATACAAATATAAATACAGGAAAATTTATGTCCATACCACAATTATTTTGTATTTACATATCTAACATCAAAACTTTGATATTTATAGCTGTAATATTTTGATGTCATAAATATATGCATCAAAATATGCATTTCACTTCACTGTTAAAGCATTAATAAATATTTTGTTCTTGATGTGACGCAAAAAATTTTAGTGGTATGCATGTTTATATCAGCTTAATTAGATATGTAAATATATAAGATTGTGTGGTATGGATGTAAATGGCCCTAAAATATAAGATCATCACTCATTTTTATAGTATTTAAAATTGTATATATATATATATAAAAGATTTGTAGTTTGACAAATTGAAGACCTTTTTAAGTTTTATTCAGTGCATCAGTTTTCCAGGGAAATAATTAACACATTAAAATACATTTTTTTTATGAAATAATCTCAATGTTCATTCATTTGATCGCCTGGAAATAGGAAATCATTTTTTAAGCATTAATTTTTTTTTCATTTATTTTACATGTGAAAATATTTCCTTTAAAAAACGGCAATAAAAATTCCGAAAGATGAAATTAATGTTGACATTTGATTATATTTAATAAAATTTTAAATTTAATAAATTCAATCATTTAATTTTAATTTATATAATTTTTAACTCCAATTTTTGACTCCAACGTCTCTTGATGCCTTGTAAATCTCTTATTAACAAATTAATGTGTTATTACCACCTAATTTTGATAAAATTTCATTGCAGATTTTTAAAAATACGATCGATTTTAGCGATTTTAATATCATTAATAATAATGAAACTTTTTATTTTTACCATAACATTAGTAAAAAAGAAGTTGAGTAGGAAAATCAGTTGGATCTGATGATATCTCTCTTGAAGTGTGGAAATATCTACAAGACTTCGAAGTTTCTCAGTTTACTAAACTCTTTAATTTAATTTTAAAAACTAAAAAAAATCGCGAGGAGTGGAGAGCAAGTATTGTGGTCCTTGTTTTTTAGAATAAAGGGAATGCACAAGAGTGTTCAAATTATCGAGGATTTAAGTTGATGTGTCATATTTTAAAATTATGGGAGAAGATAATTGAATATAGGTTAAAACATGATACAAAGATTTCTCTTAATCAGTTTGTATTTATGTTGGACAAGTCAACTATGAATGCTACACATTTATTAAGAGGTTTGATGGAAAAGTACAAAGAGAGTAGGGATGATCTATATATGAATTTTGTTGATTTAGAAAAAGCTTACAATAAGGTTCCATGAGAAGTTCTTCAGAGAGTTCTATAAATGAAAGGTATTCATACGAAATATACTTTAAGTCATTAAGGATATGTAAACTAGAGCTATTACTTATGTTTGAACAAAACGAGGATTAACCAAATATTTTCCTGTTTCAGTTGGATTACATCATTTTGCTTTATTTATGGATGCTTTTACTCGACATATAGAGGAGGATGTACTTAGATGAACACTTTTCGCTGATGATATCCCTCCTATGGATAAGATTAGAGAGAGGTCGGGAAAAAACTTGAATTATGGAGGTCTACATTATTGTCTAAAGGCCTTCGTTTGAGTAGATCTAAAACTGAATACATGAAATGTAATTTTAGTAGCAGTAGCTCTAATGACAGAGTTGTAACCATGAGTGACCAAATCATTAAAAAGTGTGAACGTTTCAGATATCTCGTGTCAATTGTTCAAAGTGATGGTGCTATATATGGGAATGTTATTGGTAGAATTCAAGTTGGCTGGTTAAATCCATCAGGCCCATGTTGTGATTGAAAATTACCGCTTAACTTACACTTAAAAGAACACTTAGTGTAATAAAGGTTTATTGTTGTTGTTGTTGTTGTTGTTGTATTATTATTGCCTAATTTATAGTTTATTACAAGTTAAAGGTATAAGAGAATGATGATGGTGGAGAAAATTGGAGGTAGGTGGTGTTGATGAGTAAAAATTGATCGGTATTATTCTGTATTTTTATTAAATTATTTGTTTTTTTCATTTATATATATATATATATATTATGTGTTCCATGGTCTGATGAAAGAACAGCCTCTATGAAGGTTGTAATTCCCCTCAGGTCACGGGTTCGAATCTTCCGTATGTAGGGTATGGTACTTGAATATTTAGCATACCTAGAAATGATCAGAGCTCGTCTAATAACATCTGCCTTTTTTCTAATATATATATATATTTTTATATATATAGAAGGGTAAAAAAAAAATTCTTAAATCTAATTGTTATGTGATGTGTTCGTCATTTCATCTAAATTATGAAGTCTTAAATTTTTCTGATAGTTAATTCTAACTCAGAATAGTAAGTTACTAGACCTACAAAAGTAAAAGTTTAGAAAATAAAATTAAACAAAACACTCAAACGTACTTATATATATATATATATAATTTAAAAATTGGTGCATTTAAAAATTGGTCCAAATGTAGCTAAATGGGTGGTGAGGAGTTACCAATAGATATTTAGCTCCTTGAATCTCTCAAAAAAATTGAATAGCACAATACTAAGGGTTATGTTAGAGCTATCTTTTGGATAATTTGATAATATTGGGTCCTATTGATTTTAGAGTTTGACGAATGTAAACTGACAAATAGTTCGAGTTCACAATTAATGACTAGATTAGTCAAACCCAAGAGAAAAATGAGAATACAAATCTTATTTAGATCCTCAAATGTCACAGCCATTTAATTCTTACTCCATAATGCAAGTGGATTAATTAAGGCACGTGCATGGCACCCACTACAATCCCATGAACTTTACTTGATTTTGATAGAGAGAATAGTGGATGTAGAAAAAATGAGAAGTTCTGAGTATTTCATTATACTATATTTAAAGAATTATTAGTGATACATAATGCTATTAAAATGGCTCATTTTTTATGAATAACTCGTGTTCGGCTCATTGAATAGCTTGTGTTCAATTCATTTACTAAACAAATAAATCTAACATGAATAATGTTTTGTGCTCGATATATAAACGAGCTGAATACGAGCAAAGGTTTGCACGTTCGTGTTTAGCTCATTCTTGGCCTGAAGTATGAATTTATGTGTAATTGAGGTTATTATTTTAAAAATTTAATTTGACTAGAAGACTACAAAGATTATAATTTATTAAAATTATTAATTAATTTCTCGCTAAATATAAAAATATAATTTTATTTAAATAAAAAAATGGTTGATGCTTCTTGCATCAAACGACAAAACAACTTCCCTCACCATATTAAAAAAAAATGAAAAAAATTTCAGTAACAGGAGAGCACTTTAATCCTCCATATGCAACGTAAAATCATTATATAAGTATATTATTTATAGAATAAAAAAGAATTTCAGTCTTCAATGTGACGCCAAAATGGCATGCAATAACAGTGCCGTGCTGAAGCTCTACCAATCATGGATAAGCTCATAAAGGCTTGCTCTGATTACCTGCAAGATCAGTTCAGACGGCAGACAGGCATGAAGGAGGAGCTCGTTCTGCATGAGAACCACCCCAAGGTCCAAGCTGTGGTCTCTACTTCCAGACAAGCACAGATCAGAGATCGCAACCCGGCTCTCAACAGATGGATATGGCAGCTAGGAGATGCCATCGATGAGACAGATGATGTTCTCTTGATGACTTTGAGTACATGAAGTTTGAAGAACAGCTTACCAGAAACAAGAAGCAGCAAAAGGTGCGCTCCACCATGAGTTCTTTAAAGAAAATTGGCAAAGGTGCTCTCAAGATGGATCCCAATTTGAAGAAACTGAAGAAGGTTGTGAAGAAACTTGATAAAGTTTCAGCTGAGGTCAGTACTTTGCTTTATCTCATCGAAAACGCAAAGCAGGAGCTGGAACTTCAATTGTAGAAAGATCGTGAAACAGGATGCTTGCCTAAGAATGGTCTCATCGGTCAAGGGGAGAAGAAGGATTTTGTTATGCAATGGTTGAGGAAGCCAACAAATGAAGATCCAACCCATATTGCTAGCCCTACTTTGTACAGAAACATTTCTCTCCCATCCATAGTAGGTCATGGTGAAATGGGAAAGACATACACACATATACATATGTATATACATTTTAGAAATGAATGTAAACTGTTGTTACAATATTTTTAGAACATTCTTACTAACACAGAGGATCCCACTCATATATTTCTTACAGCACAACACACAAATACGCACTTATACTGTTACACACATAAACAAATACATAATGTGATGTATGGCATCAAATAATGGTGCAACAAGTAGGACAAGTATTATGTGAGATTAGCCATCTACTAATGCAAGCTGCGTGAAAGAAATGTGTGCATTCTAAATTGCCAAATCTCCTCTCCTTTTTCGAACTCTAACAAGCAAATAATGCACTCTGGTATTTCTAACTCATCCTCCTCTCCCCCAATCACGTCCTCCATGTGGTACTTCATCCCATCAAAAACGCAAAGCAGGAGCAGCAGTAGTAGGAGCTGGAGCTTCAGTTGTGCAAAGATCGTGAAACAGGATGCTTCCCTAAAAATGATCTCATCGGTCGAGGCGAGGAGTTATGCAGTGGTTGAGGACGCCAACAAATGAAAATCTGACACATATTGCTAGCCCTACTTTGTACTAAAACATTTCTCTTCTATCCATGGTGGACCATGGTGGCATTGGCAAGACACGGACCCATCAATTTCGTTCTTTCTTGTTGTCCTTGAGAAGTAGCGGAGGTAGTTCCATGGGCCGCCATTAGAGGACTGTTCTTCATGTCACTCCTGAAAATATCAGTAATATATACGCACTCCGAAGTTGCAGAGTTTTTACAAGTTATTAAGGAAAAAAAAAAAAACCAATGATATCGACGCATTCCAAGCTTGAATTATTTCAACAAATATTATGTATAGCACATAAAACAAATATATAACACTGAAATGATTAATAAATTTGCATATGAAAATTTTGCAGGTGCCATGCCTCCACTTGCCAAACATTCCTCCCAATGAAAATTTTTGCAGCATCTGACTCATCCTAAAACCCGTTGATAAAGCTTGGATGCTGGCTGCTATTGGGATCAATCGCGAGGAAGAGTCGTGGAGGAAGACATGCCAAGAGGCCAAAACTAGTCGAAAGAGTGAAGGTAGAACACTTGTCCGTCCGAACCCAATAGATGAGGATCCTCATGTAGGACAATTGTCTGTCGGCATTGATGGTGGTGACCCGATCATGTGAACAAATCCGGCTCCCAAGGTACTAGCCGATAGTACAGAGGCTGTGGGCAATCGCCCGTCCGAACCTGACAAGGGACAAGGTCCGGAGTGAAATCTCTAAAATACATTGGTCGTCCCCCAGGACCTTAGCAAGTCGTCTAGAAAAACTGGAGGCAATTCTAGCCCGGCATGACTGGGAGTTGTAAGTCAAGCTAGAGGAGATGTGTGGGAAAACAATCAGTCTTCACCAAAATTGTTGAACTTCGGAAGGGTGCATTCATTCGGAGGGTCAATTATGAGGCGGATCAAGAGAATCAATTTAAGCTCGATGTTTAGACGTTGAATAGGAGATTAGTTAGGAGGGATTTAGTCCATACAGAGGCGACCGAGGATCATCTTGTGAAGTATCCCCCGTCGAACTAAATTCATATGTTTTTATGTTTTTTGTGATAAATAAAATGTTTTGTTTTTTGCTAATCTCAATGTTTGTGTTTGACATGACATTTTTCTCGATTTTCATGAGTGGCGTTTAGTCTTCTTCTATTAGATTCCTATGACTAGCGGTTGAGAGATCCATGAGTGAGCCTTCTGTCCCTTTCTTTCTAACTCCCTGATTCACCTTCTGTCTTTGGTTATTTTGTCATTCATTGATATGACTCGGAGAAAACTCCTCAAACCTTTGATCATATGGTAGCGGCCAAATGCTCCATTATGTCACCGTCAAACATCACTTTCATCGAAAAAACTTATATTTTTATTCGATCATCAAGTTGTGGGTCGCCTGCCAAGATGAAAGGGCGACCGAGAGACATGAGAATGATTTGGTGGTGTATCGTGACCAGCTCCGCTATAGGTTGCAGCTTCCTTTTTGCCACGAGCTCCATATATTTTGCTGAACTCTGTGACGAACTTTGTGGCGGTGATCATGACCCACATCTTTTGCCAGCGAAAATACATTCCATGGTTTGCCGATCTGTTTAGTCATATGTCCTCATTTCTCTTGGAATCGAATGATTATGTCTAATTCTGAACAAACTGTGGATTCCGCTTTGTCGGCCTAGAAAACAAGGTCAAAGATTGGAAACACAAGTGGAATCGAATGATTATGTCCAACTCTGAACAGCAGGTGGATTCCAGTTTGTCGGCCTAGAAAACAAGGTCAAAAATTGGAAACACAAGTTCTTCACTACCCCTTCTATCGAATGATTGTGTCCATCAAGCTACTTCTTTCAGAAGAGGAAGGGCATCGACTGCTCCTAGGTCGAGGGGGCCTATATTGAGGGCCGAATGCACTCAATTCCCCAATACACAGATCTGATGATCGTAAACTGAGTACTGTTCCAAGAGCGTCCGATCAAATAACGTCAGAATTATGGGTCGCCTCAGATACTGTGGAGGTCCAATGGTAGTCCGGTTAGCAGAAGAAGGCCAAAATTGAAGTCAAGTTGGATGAGACCTACCATGGTGTGATGACGAATGAAGGCAGACTGACTGAGGTGGCGAGCAGAAAAATTGGCCCAATAGGTAAGGAGTTCCTCTTTACCATTACTATAACCATGGTTGTGATTCAATGAATCTCGACGGGCAATTAACCATTATCGCTAGGAAATGTAAGGCCAATGCTAACTTTGGCACTTATCTCCTGGATGCAGCTCATTTAGTCATTAAATAATCCATTTCATTCATTACTGCCAATAATATTATCCAGGAAATTAAACGACTTCTTTGAGAGAACAAATCCTACAGTTATTGGAGAGGTATCAAGTAGCCATTCCAATGAAATACATAAAGATATTAGTGAAATACAGCAGAAGTATTTACATACATAAAACATGACCCTTATGCGTAGGATAAGAATTAAGTGGTATGGATGTAAATTAATTCATAGAGATTGGATGGTATGTACAGCCACATAACAATTGAGTAGTATGCATGTAACTTAATTCATATATATTGGATGGTATGTACGTAAACAGCCACATAACAATTGAGTGGTACGTGTATATATATTGGATGGCATGTATGTAAACAACCATATTTTAAAGTTTTCACGATTTGACATTGAAAATTCAAAAAGAAATAAATCAAAGGGAAGCAATTATTTTAGGGAATCCAAATAAATGAAAGGTAGGAGATGTCACTGATGTAAGGAAATTCCGGTGACCTCTCAAGCTATCATATTGTTTGACTTTATGTTTCGAAAATGACTTATTTGATGTTTCAATCCTGCCAATTTTATTATTTAGATCTTATATTTGTATGATACGATCATACAAATGACTTGAATGATTGGAGAATTTACGTCATATTGAACGACAAACTCGGAATCCTAAAAGTGTTAGGGCTCATATTGCACAACAAGGTTGTGCAAAAGTCTAAAAGATAAAGTAAAAATTTATATCGCGCTATGCAAACTACCTCAAAATCCTATGACTTGTTAATTAAACTAAGGAAAAAGGTTTAGCTGATTAGACTTGTTTTGCTACATCTCGATCGTGCTGCCCGCAAAGACTTGTTCCAAGCTCCAAATTTTTTGTTGTAACGATTGCAGGTTTAAGATTAAGTTTAATTGTACATGCAATTGTTGAGTCGGTGTTTTGCCACTATGTACCTCCTATAAAACCAGACTACTATCCTAATCTAAAATGTATAATACACAAATAAAACTAAACGTGAGGAAATCTCGGTGACCTCTCAAGCTATCCAAATATTTGATTTTATGTTTCGGAAATGACTTATTTGATGTTTCAACCCTGCCAATTTTATTATTTAGTGTTTATATTTGTATGATACAGTCGTACAAAAAACCTGAATGATAGGAGCATTTACGTTGTATCGGACGACGAACTCGGAACCATAAAAATGTTAGAGTTTATATTGCACAACCCAGGGTTGTGCAAAAGCATAAAAGATTAAGTGAGGATTTATATCGCGCTAAGAAAATCACCTCAAAATCCTATGACTTGTTATTTAAACTAAGAAAAAAAGGTATAGTTGATACAAAATTGCTTTGATACATCTTGATCGTGTTGCCCACGAAGACGTATTCCAAGCTCCAAACTTTTCATTGTAACGATTGCAGGTTTAAGGTTAAGTTTAAATGTACATCCAATTGTTGAGTCGGGGGTCTGACGCTGTGTGTCTTCTATAAAACCAAACTACTGCCCTCCTATTCTAAAAGATATAATACACAAATAAAATAAACAATAAGAGGTGCAGTAAAGGAAAGCAACAGTAAAAAAGACAGTAAATGTACAGTAAAGAAGAACAGTAGAATGTGTAGTATAGACAATAAATTGCTATAAATATAAAATAAATTTGTGTATCTGATGGGTCTACTGCTTCTGCAAATAATATTAGCATCGTAGGTAAAAGTAAACAAATATAGTAGAGAATTTAATTAGCAGGGCAAATATGCATGTATATGTGTGTAAAAGTCTAACGACGAAGCATCTCATGGAAAACTCGAAGAAGACCGCAAATGACTCACAAAATAAACTCGAAGAAAACCGGAAAGAAAAACAAGGAAAGCCCAAAGAAAATAACAAATAAACTATAAAAGACCGAGGTGGACTATAAAAATTCAGGTCCGTTGTGGGCTCAGATTTGAGCATTCCCGAAGAACCCCGAAGACAACTATCGGTCATTAATGTGTATATAGTCCGACATTTAACTAGAAATTTCCAACAAGATAATCTCAGGAGGACAATTCTTAGCCCAGTACAAGTAATTGACAAGTTGACAATCGGATTATATTACTTAAAGTTTATATTTTGTCATGCATATAAGCTTCATGCATATAAGCAAAATGAATCTATTTTAGTAGTTAAAAATATTTTGTAAATAACGTATCAGTTCTTATCGTTATATTTTATAAATTTAATTGTTCACAAGTCGATTGCACTGTTAGGTTAGGACTACCGACAACCTAAGAAAGCAAAAGTCCTCCCTAGTACAGTGTTTGTGAATATTATTGTCATCCAACATTTCATCGGGTCCCCAATGTCAAAGAATGCAATATTATTCAACTGTATCATCGAATGTCTTTGTCATCATGGCATGAAACCCAAAAAAAGTCATCCAACTTATAGCCTTGTTTAATGGTTCACCTATAATCAGGGTTATATATGTGTGTTTATATTCAGACATAAGCACCTAAACCAAACAAAAAAACAAAGTAAGAAAAAAAAACAATTGAGTGAGAGAAAGAATGGATTAATCTATCTGAAAGGACAAAGAAGTGATGGGTGGATTGACCCTCAAAAAATTATCAAACAAAACTCTAATGAGTCCACAAAAGCATATAAGAAAAATTGAGTGAGAGAGAGGATGAATTAATTTATCTGAAAGGACAAATAAGTGAAGGCTGGATTGACCCTCAAAAAATTATCAAACAAAACTCTAATGAGTCCACAAAAGCATATAAGAAAAATTGAGTGAGAGAGAGGATGAATTAATTTATCTGAAAGGACAAATAAGTGAAGGCTGGATTGACCCTCAAAAAATTATCAAACAAAACTCTAATGAGTCCACAAAAGCATATAAGAAAAATTGAGTGAGAGAGAGGA